CCTCCTACCTCCTTCGTCTCTCCTCCCACCTTTCATCTGTGTATGTGTACGGGATCTGGGTATCGTCTGTGAATGACCCAGACCCCACCATCTCATGATTGTATGTGTGTGGAGTGATGCCATGTAGGTCAGTCTATGTGAGTCAGTCTATGTGAGTCAGTTCGTTATCAGACTTCCGCTGCATAAATGCTCATCCTATATTGGTTGATCTTTGGTTCTGCCCATACTCATTGAAGTATGTAACAAAACTCTTTGGACTTGACCCAGACTAAGTCGCCTACTTGGAACTGCGATGGGCGACGGTGCTTGTTGGCTTGCTCTATCATTCTATGTTGGGCCTTCCTGAGGTTCTCGACGACTGTAGCTAGTTCTCTCTCGTGCTGTATCGCAAACTCCCTAGTACCGGGCGGTAACCTGTGAATCTGGTCCTGGTTAAGTCCCTTAAACGGTCTGCGCTGGTCCCGGACTTTTGCAACTCGTTGGGAGTGCGACAGGTGGACAAATGCACGCTTTTGTTGTACGCACTAGCTACCTTGGGCAACATTTTATCCCAATTGACTTGATCAGGTCTAATGTACATGCGCAGAACTTGCTGTAGAATCTTTCATCTGCTCAGTCTGACCGTTAGTCTCTGGGTGGCGGCCAGACGACATCAACAACTTTGATCCATAAACTTTCATCAATTCCTGCCAGTTCTGACTCGTGAAACGGGTGTCTCTATCACTAACTATAGACAACGGAATCCCGTGATCACTAACCCAATAGTAAAAAAAACTTATGAATTACTAGCTCAGTCCGTGCCTCTACAGGCAAAGGAACAAAAACAGCATACTTACTGAATCTATCAACTATGACCATGACTTGGCTCTTACCGTGCCTACTCTTGACGCCAGCATCCATGAAGTCAATGGAGACTGAATCTCCTGGCTGATCAGGAATAGGCAAGGGTCTGAGAAGATCTAGAGGGGCATGCGCAGTAGTCTTGTTTCTTTGGCATACTTTGCAACTGCGGACATACTTTATGCAGTCAGCTTTCATTCCTGGCCAAGTGTACGCATGCATCAGATTGGCTAGCGGCTTTTGCCAACTGAAATGTCCCTCTGTGTCGTGGCATTCCCCTAGGATCAAACTACGGATCTCCTCGTTGTTAGGAACGCACAGACGGTCTACTACATCGGTCTTCTCGAACAATAATGTAGTGCGGTAATGTGGTTCAGTCTCTGGGGCCTCCTTAACCCTCTTGAGGAGGTCACCATAAATAGGGTCTTGCGCATACGTCTGTCTTACTGTCTCCTGCAGGTCACTCTCTATATCCAGATAGCGAACTATAGCTCCAAAGTAGTCTGATCTCCTACTTAGAGCATCCTCAACTACATTGTATTTGCCTTTGATAGGCTTGAGCTCAAAGTCGTACTGGTCTATCTCAACGGCCCAGCTAGTCAACTTAGGTGTCATTTTGGCCTGCCTTCAGCCATCTAAGAGTCCCGTGGTCTGAATACACCTTGAAGTGCCTCCCAAGCAAGTAATGCTTCCCGTGCTCTAAGGCCTGCCTGAGAGCGTAGAGTTCTCTCTCGTAAGTCGAGGTATCTACCTTTTCTGAGGGCATCCTCGTTGACATGAACTCTACGGGTTTGTAGCCATTGTCGTCGTCCTGCTGTAACACGGCGCCTATACCATACCGACTCGCATCCGTGGTGACGACAAATGACAAAGACGGATCTGCTACTTTGAGGACAAGATACTCTATTAACGCGCGCTTTAATTTCTTTAGCGCAAACGTACAGTCTTTATCCCATTGCCAGATTGCCTCTTTCTTGAGCAACCTGCGAAGGGGAATGACGATAATCGAGAAGTTCCTCGCAAACTTCCTATAGTAGTTAGCTAGGCCTAGGAACGACCGCAACTCAGTCAACGTGCGGGGCGTCGGCCAAGCTCTGATCGCCGCTATCTTGCTGTCCTCAGGCTTAATGCCATCTTCATCTAAAACATGGCCCAAGTACAAGACTTCTGTCTTGGCCCACTCGCACTTCTTTGCATTGATCTTGAAGTTAGCCTCTTTCAGCTTCTCCAAGACCTGCCTCAAATGGCCATGATGCTCTTCAAGGGTCCTACTGAATACCAATATATCATCTAGATAAACTACAACAAATCTATCTAACCATGGCCTTTATAAATCGTTCATACAACACTGGAACGTGACAGGCGCATTGGTTAGTCCAAAGGGCATCACTATGAACTCATAATGCCCATATCTAGTCCGGAACGTAGTCTTGTACTGGTCATCAGGATGAACCTCTATTTGATGATATCCGGACTTCAAATCGATCATCGAAAAATGTCTACAGCTCTGCACTCGATCTAAGAGATTGTCTATCCTGGGCAGTGTCTCAGCATTCTTTACTGTGATGGCATTTAGACCCCTATAGTTTATGCACATTCGTAACTCTCCTTCCTTTTGGGGGACAAACAAAACTGGTGCTCCGAAAGGAGATGAAGTGGGCCTAATCCAACCCTTTTCGAGGAGTTCGTCCAACTGCTTACGCAGCTCCTCTAACTCCCTTGGGGACATCCTATAGACTGCTCCCTTAAGAGTCCTAGTGCCAGGCTCTACCTCTATACGATGTTGGATGGGCCGCGGCACTACTCCAGTCGGTGGCTCTGCTAAATCCTTAAACTGTTCCAGCAGCTTGGCAATAATTGGATCTATGGGTGTGTCTTCTTTAGGCTCAGTGACAGGACTTACATAGGCTACGGAAACCTGTTCCTCTAACTACTCCTTTCTTACTAATCGCGCGAACGAGGGAGCACTAAGACAGCAATGTGCCAAGGAGTTGTCTACTCCTGACACATGGAACAAAGGGGTCGTCTTAACCTCGTCTGACGGGCTAGGGAGCCTACACTCATGCTCTTTCAAATGGAGTGTGGCCCCAGCTGCCTCTCCCCAGTCCATGCCTAGAACTATGTCAAAAGGAAGGTCATCCTGCACGAGGAGAGTCAGGGAACGGAGAACTTTCTCCACCTTCCCATCTTTCTCTAAGCGGAAATACGCCTTGACTCCCTCTACGTAGTCCTCAACATGCATAGTGCGGTTGTCTGCGAGGACACTAACTATGGGGTCTTCCAACTTTTCGACTTTCAACCCTAGCCTTAGCTTCTTCAGCGCTCAACGACTAATACAACTGTGAGTAGCCCCTGAATCTATAAGGGCTCCTACCCTACTTCTAAAAACTTCTACATCAACTAAGACTAGTCGTCCCTTACTATCCTTTTTCATTTTGGCCCAGGCAGGCATCCTCTCCTTCAACTCTTCTTCCACGCATGTGAGGGAAGTGCCTAGCGTCTCTTGACAGCTAACTAGGCACTGGCCTGCAACCTCTGCCATAGGCTCACGTGGTGTGGGAGTTTCCTGGTGGTGCGCACACACTTCCCCAGATGGCCTGGTGGTAGGGGCAGTTGCGACCCCTACTGGCGGCTGTCTTTTGACCCTTGGGCAGCGGATCGGGCTTCCCTATACTTGACAATATTTGATAATATGGGCAGGGTCACCGCAGTAGATGCACTGCCCTTGCTCCATACGTTGTTCCCATACACATTGGGCCAAGCCCAAGTCTTCCCAAGGCCGTCCCTGTGGCCAACCTGGATGCCAACCTCCTTGCCTTTGAGGTGACCTTCCACCTCTGCGCTGCGGCGATCGACTGGGTCCTGAGCGATTCGGCGGGGGACCTTGACCCCTACATCCCACTTGACGGTTCCTTTGACCGCCAACCCCCTGTGCACCCGCGCCTCGACCACCCATGGCCCGGCCCCCTTGGCCCTGGCCTCCTCTACCTTGCGGCCTCCCTCCCGCCGCGACAGCAGCGTACGTCCTCCCCTGACTTACACCACTGTCCTCCTCCTCTAGCCCCCACTCGATCTAACTGTAGGGGACTTCATCCGTACCACCTTCATCCAAAGTAAGGATCAGGTGATCCTTGGCCCTAACCTGACCTGAGATTGTACGTCCCTTCCACTTCTTTCCCTTGTCTAAGTCCTTATGACAGAAAGTGGAGAGTGGCATGGCATGGACTTTGCCTCAAACAGGACCACTTCCCTACTTAACGCATCATACGTAATGTTGGCCTGTTGGGTCTTATCAAAGAAATGCCCTCGCAGGGGCTCTGGCATGGCACGATAGAATAAGTTAACCAACTGGGTCTCAGTGACCCCGTGGTTTGGGATGGGTACAAGGTCATCCATCACTGCATTGAGTGCTCTTGCACTCTTCCACTGCCTAGAGTGGATGGTTTGCAGCTTGTCGGAGGCCCTGACGCCCCTTCTGACGTCAGCGAACCTCTCTCGCAAGAGTTTAAGGAAAGTAGAAAGAGGGGTGAGCCTAGAATACGCAACCATATTGTGCTCACAATCGGCTGCGTGCGCAAGGGACCTGGCAAAACTGGACGCATCATCTTTTAGTGCATGGAAGGCCACGAGGACTTGTTCCGCTGGCGCAATGTGTTGTAGATACACATATGTTGATGCTGGCCTCCCAGTTATCAAAATTATCATCCTTTTTCCCGCTATACGAGTCAGGAAATTTGAGCTTGACGGGCTCTTTGCGGGGGCACGTTTCGGCCTCCGCCGTGGCCACTTCCCTGGCCATCCGGTGGGCCTCCTCCCTCCTTCTCTTCTTCTCTCCGGCCAGCCGCAATTTCCACTCCAACCGTATCCCATTTTCCTACGTCTGGCGTTCCAGCGGCTCCTCCATAGTTGCCAGCTGCCTGGCTAGCACTTCCTTCTCCTCTTGAGGCACATATAACATCGCCTCTTCATCTTCTCCCAGCGATAAATTAGCCACCCACTCAGTAATCTTCTTCTCCATCCACTTATCCTCCTCTTTCGTGTCGCTGCTTTCAACTCTTTCTCCCCCACTCCTCCTTTCGAGGGGTTCTTCTTCTACCTCTTCCTCCTCTGTTGCTTCTTCTTCGACAACCTTCCTTTTCTACTCCTCTTCCTGCTGCAATCTTAACATCTCCTCCTCCAGTTTCTTCTTCTTCGTCGCCTGCTCCTCAGCTATCGCCTTCAACTTTGCCTATTTGAGGAGCTCCTTCTTCTCCTTCTTCTCCCTTCTCTCCCTCAGGATGGCGGCGATCCGTTCCTATTCAGCTTCGAACTGTGGAACGGTACTCTTACCACTACGGAGGTCAACCATGGTGACAGGTGCACAACCGGACAACGGTTCCACTCCTCACCAGATCGCTCAGGGACGCGGACGTCAAGAGATACTCAGGGGAACTAAGGGAGGGGTTGATTCCAGGTGATAAGTTCAAGAAAATGCCATGCTGTCCTATCCACACAACTGATTTTATTTTTATGATTTTGATTCGTTAGATGTACTGCCATTGACATCTGACAGACAGCATTAGTTAGAACTGTTGATTGTTCCTGGTGCTTTTGTTTGCGGACTAGTCATACTAAAAATAGTTTCAGTTGTAGGAATCTGACTTACCTGTTGACATCAAGTGATATTTTTTCCGAAACAGCCCCCAACTAATTAGTTGGTCTGTGCACTATGTTGCGGTAGGCATCTTGAATGATCTAGTGTAGACAGTGCACAGTGTTGTAGCCTCTGAGCGACGAGGAGGACACAGAGGACGACCGCAGGATCTTGCGATCAGCTAGAGGCCCGAGAGCTCACGTGTCCCTAGGACCGGAGGGTGATAGGATTCTATTCCGCCGGCTTAAAGAGAGGCAGCAGCAGCAGAGGAGGGCTATAGCAGCCGAGGCCAGCAGAACTTTAGTTAGTGAGGCCGGTGATACAGCATCCATGGCCACTACAGCCATGTCCACTTCTGCGCAGCAGACTTCCCAAGCCAGTAGTTCAGGTGCCGTCGGGTCAACGGTCGCGCAGACAGTGAGTCAGTCCACTGGCGTTATGACAGCCAGGCATTAGTGTTGACTCCAGACGATGTCGCCATCCAGCAGGCAGCCCTGCAGGAGGCACAGCTACAGCAGGCATTAGGAGAGAGAAAAGCGGAGAAGGAAAAGATGATCAGAAGAAGAGCCAGGATTCAGCGGAAAGGGGCCGACATAGATGAGTTAGAGACGATGGACCTGAACAATATGGATGATGATGTGAGCGTAGTTAGGAGCGCCCTGCTAGGCGTAATAGAAATGCAGGAGCATCAAGCTACCATCCTTCAGGATATCCAACAGAGCCTAGCCGTTTTGGCAGGCCGTGCTCGGGCAGCACCATCACCAGCCGGGTCTGGTGCCTGGCCCGTGCTATATCCTCCTTTTTCTATCCCACCAGTGACAGGGGTATCCCCATATGTAGCCCCGTCAACGGTTGCTATCATTTCCCTGGGCATGCCGCTGTCCGGAGGGGTAACAGCAGGGAGTAGTTTACAGGTTCCTGTACAGACAGTGTTTACTCCAAGTCCGTCGCAGGTTGCAGTCACCTCACAGCCTGCTGTCTCGCAGTCTGTGCAGCCACAGGGCACACAGCCCCAACAGCTAGCACAACAACCTGTATCACCGGGTCCACAGCCCGGAGTGATGCAGGGACCGGGACAAACTCAGTGGGTTCCAAAGACGGCCATCGCCGGTCCCAAACCTTTTACAGGGGACAAGAGAGGCAAAGACCTCGACACATGGTTGAGGGCAGTGCCAGTCTACGTCAGGTGTAAACTCACCTTGCCGCATGAAGAAGTGCTTGTGGCTGCTTCCTACCTAGAGGGTAGTGCAGCAAGATGGTTGAGTGGCTTAGTACAACTCCAGGGGTATGGTCACGACTTCCACGCTTGGGCGGCCTCCCAGAAATTGGAGGACTTCCTGAAGATGGTGGAAGACAGGTGGCATGATCCTCAAGAGGCCCAAAGGGCCACTAATGCGATCCTGACACTGCACACGCGGCAGTTTAAGTTAGTAAGGGAAGCCACCGACGCTGTTGAGCGTCTGATCTGTGTCCCAGGGGTGCGCTATGACCCCCAGGTCCTACTGACTTCGTACTTGAGATGCTTTTCACAGCCTCTCAGGAACCAGTTGGCAAAAGAGGCTAATATCAACATGCACAACTTTCCTTCGTTTAGCAAGGTGGCCCTAGACCTTGAGGCAAAAATAGGGCATGGACAGGCACCCACTACGGATGGGAGAAAGAAGACGCTGCCTCCCAACAGGAAGGCGAAGGGTCGCATCATGTTTGTCGACTACGATGGTTCAACCATCGAGTTGGACGGCAACTTCCAAGAGGGAGTAGGTTCAAAGGCAGGCAGCATAGAAGCTTCAGAGGGTGGAGTAGTTGCTGCCATTTCTCAAAAAGGTACGGCGACCGATAGACGCCGCGGAGGCTCACGGTCTAGGAGTCAAGTTGACCCCAATGCTCCTCCATGGGAGAAAGCGGGTCTTATAGAGGACGTGTGGAGAGACCGTTACTCACGGCAGGCCTGTATTCGTTGTGGTCAATATGGCCACAACCAATTCAAGTGCCGCAACAAGAAAGTGACAGAAAAGATCCTGCCTACGATGGGGCAAGCGCTGGGATCCTCTCATCCCGTTGGTAGCAATGTTGCTAGCACTTCTGGCAGTGCTCCAGGGTCGAGG